TTCTCCTGGCTATGGTCTAGTGTCTGGAATATACATGTGGTAATTAGTCACTCAATATTTGTTGAATGAATGAAGTGATATTCCACTCTCTCTCTTCATTTAATTAAGAGTATGAAAATGTGTCAAAATTATATCTTTCCAAGTGTTGGCCAATTTGGCACCAATGATTAGCAGGAAAGAGAATAAAATGTGTTGTTGGCCCATTCTCTAAATTTTCCCTTCTGGTCTTTCAGAAACCCTTGGGACAATTTCTTTTACCTTCCTCAGGGGGCAATTTTCAAAGAGAGTGATGTACTATCTTCCCACACTTAATTACTGTGCTCCTAATTAAACCCTATGCAGTGGATGTCCATCAAAGTCCTCTCCCCTTTTAAGTAGATAGCCAAACAGAAGAAAAGATTTAGGCATAGCACCTGTCTATTGCCCTCTAGGAGGAACAAAAGTTGAGTCAGTGAATACTTTCCAAATACCTACCAGCCGTGTTGTTTTACCCAGCATTCATTGGTAACAAATGAATTTTGTTGTCTTACAAATACTACAGCTGCTCGAATACTGCATTAATAAGGGTAAAACCTCCTTGAAAATGAAAGGCAAAAAAAGTATCTGATGGGTATTTTCTTAATCACATATAGCCTTATTAGACTGGGTCCCAGAGGGTGGAAATATGAGTAGAATTTTTAGCAGGTGGTATAATTATTATAAATGATTAAATGGGAACGTTCTATGCATTAAAAGCCCAAAGAAGAACACAAGGGCTGTTGCTATTTTCTAGTAAATGTTGACTTTGGGTGGCTATAACTGTCAAGGGCAGCCCCCAGTGATGTCCTAGAGGGTTAAATTCATGGCAGTCAACCTGTTCTTCAACAGGCCCATGTTTCTTAGGGAAACAGATGGTCAGGGGAGGTCCTGGACACAGAAGTAGATTTATCTTGTCAAGCTGTTATCGCCTGGTAAATGACCTTAAAGAGGTCACAAATGGTCACATGACAACAGTGTGGTTCAGAGGTCTCTGAGGGTGAGGGAATTCATTAACTCTTTCCTCTTAGCATTGCAACTGCCCCCTTTGGATAGCCATGTAGCAAGGCTGCTGTTGTAGGGTGTGTGTGTGTGTGTGTGTGTATCCTAATGGATAATTTATATACCTTCAGAAATATTTAACTGATTCAATATGATTCTGGATACAGTAAAATAGTTTATTTTTGTGTTCTCAAAAATGATACAAGTCTAATTTTGAAAGGGGAAAATAAACCAATTTTACAGGTAGTGGGGGCTGAAGGTCTGTCCTGCTCAGAGCCCCTGTGTTTGAAAGAGGCTGTGCAGCACTGCCAACCATCACCTTGACTTAACACTTCGTAAGCCCAACAGCCATGTCTTTGGAACCTACGACCAAAAGGCATGGTAGGAAAAATGAAGTGATTTTGTTTTGTTTTGGGATTTTTTTTTTAGGGGCCATGTTTTCAGTCTGCTCTCCTTTTTGTGTGTCCTCTGTGTTTTGTTGCAGGAAACACACACCCTTTTGTGAGTTGTCCCCATCATAAAGAGTCCAGTCCTTGCCCTTTCAGCACAGATCAAGTTACAGGCACAGCCCAACAGAGATCAGTGAGCCTGTGAAAGGATGACCTAGTCAAACTTCAGCCTGGCAACCGGCTTGCTGTGAACAGTCACTTCAAAAAGCTGCCCATCTGCCTGCCTGATTATTTTTTCCTGTTACTTTATTCAGATTGTTTCTTCAAATGCACTACTTTTTCTATAGCCATTTTTCCTTGGTTGCTTTCCCTCAGAAATCATAGTTCCATATATTTCTTTTTTAAGCACTAGAATCCCAAATAATCCATAATATAGGTGCAGAATGGGTGGCTGTTTTAGCAATGGTCAGGGGATTTTCTAGCATGCTCTAAGTTTGTTTGTTGTTAGGTCAACCATCCCAATCAATCCTGATCAATCCAAAAGGGAAATACTAAAATATTGAAATTGCTGCTAAAGAAAATCAAATAATACACTTTTATCATGTAAAAGAAAAAATGTGTGTGCATATATGTGTGCATACATATAGCATATGTATACATAACACACACACACACATATATATACCTGGAGGTATAAGTCTATACATATATGTATATCATTTGCACTTTATGTATTGTTTGCTCTTATGAGCCAGGGAATATTACTGCAGTAAGAGTAAAGGTTTATTTCACAATTTACAATGAAAGTTCATTTTCTATTTATGTCAAGCATAATTTTTAACTTACATGTCTAATTGTAAATAGTGGTATCTTTTTAAGAAGCATCTTGTACCAGTTTCAAGCAGTATGGCAGACTAAACATTCACAGAAAACCTTTCCAGTAGAGTACTTGAATAAAATTGCAAAGAAAAAAAACCCAACTCTACTATTAAATGCTTGGTTGAGCTGTTGGGAAAGTTAAGACATGCTCAGGGAGCAGAAGAACAAAAGAGCTAAGAAAATGAGGAATAAAGGAAACCTAGAGATAGCACTGTCTATGGGAGCTAATGGGCTAAATAGGACAGAACTTGGAACTAAACAGGGTGGGAGATCAAACTGAAGACCCACACAGGGAACTACCCCTTAACCCAAAACAATACCCTTGTGGATGAACTAGGTAAGAGCCTGGCCCACAAAGAAGGTTTTGGAGATTGCTGGGCCTTCTCAGTCTTGTCTTTTCATGAATGGCAGGCAGTTGTTGAGGGAAAAAGTCTCCCTTGAAAGTTCATAGGCAACCTATGCACTACTCAGCAAGTGTAGGGGTGAGAATTCATACTACCTGTGTAAATGGAAATCCTTCCAGTCAAAGATTTAAACAAAAAGCTTATGTACATTACTAGACATAAAGTGTCTGAACATATATTGATAAAAGATTTAGAATAACAATTTGTATGTGTAGTAATATGCCTTCAGCATACATGCAGCAAAAACTGAAATATATACCAGAAGGAAATCCACTATAATAGATCTTAATATAGTTCTCTTAGTAAATCAAATAGTCAAAAAATCAGTAGGCATACAGAATATTTGACAAACATAATTAACAATTGTATACCAACAGATACATAGAGAGGACATATAATAACTACAGAACATGATGTCTTCAAAAGCAACATAATTAAAATTTGTAGACTAATGGACATATAGAGAAAACATAATAACTGCAAAACATATTTTCAAGAATCTAGGAAACATTTAGAAAACTTAAAGATATATATTAGGATTATTCCTTTTTGTATGTATGACACACTTTAGCATTTTTAAAAAGCACCATACTTATTAAGTACGATACTGTCTATATGACACAAAATGACATTATCAAATACATTTTTAATTTACTTTGGTTTGATTTTTGAAGTGGGGGCCTCACTATTTTGCGCAAGTGGTCTTGAACTTCTGAGCTCAAGTGAGCTTCAGTCTCAGTCTCTGCAGTCACTGCAGGAAGTACATTGCTTGAAATCCAAATAAAGTCACAAAAGATCTCACAGCAAATGGTAAAGTCAGAAGTGAAAGGTCTATTTGGGTCCACAGATTCTAGTCTTTAAATTGTGGTCTGCTGCTTTTATAGTTAGTATTTATACTCACCCCTTTATTTCATGAATATAACCAGAAGATTTTTGAAGATAGCCAGATATCAACATTTACAGCAGCCCAGTTGGCAGGAGGATTGCCTTTACCTTGACATTCCTCACTTTCTCCATTAACACTGGCTTCTCTGTTCACCACAACTATAACTTGCTTATTTTTTTCTGCACAGGCTTTTACAATATTTCTATTAAGCAGAAGTTCTTTGTTGGTCTGTTCATTTCTAAATATCAGAATGTCGGGACTGGTGATCAGGATTTATCAATCTGTTAACATGGCATTATTCCAAAATGCAAGATTCAAGTAATTATAATACATTATTAGTTTCATTGGTACTGTATTAATTTTTAGTAAATTTAATTTGAAGGTTTATGCCTAGCCTTGACAATATTGTTGAGTTTGTTCATGTAACTAATAGTAGCCAACAAGCATTTATATAGCTATTTTGCTGTACAATGGGTTGAGTGGTAGATCCCCAAAATACATGTGTGCTCTAGCCCTTATTTGAGAAAAGGAACTTTACAGATGCAATTTAATTAAGGATCTTAAGATTAGATCATTCTGGATTATATGAATGGTCCCTAAGTCAATGACAAATGTCCTTAGAAACAGAAGAGAAGACATAGATGTAAAGAAGGCCATATGAAGACAGAGGCATAAATTGTAGCAATGTAGCCACAAGCTAAGGAATGCCAGCATCTACCAGAGAATGGAAAAAGCAAAGAAGGATTTTTTCCCCTACAGCTTTTAGAGATAGCACAGTCCTTCCAACACTTTGATTTTATACTTCTGCTTTTAAAACTGTTAAGAGAATCAATTTCTATGGTTTTGGTATGTCTAATTGCTGCCACTTGTTATAGCAGCTGTAAGAAACTAATACACTATAGTAACTGAAAACTATACTTACTACTATTTTTATAATTGCATTTTCCAAAATTCAGATGACTCAAACCATAACAGAAACATAAGCATTTATATTTGTGGTTTTCTTTACAGAGTGAAACCATTCATTTTCTCTCCCTTTATATTTATAGATACATTTATCATACCAATTACTGGTAAATACTGGACAAGTATAATTGGCAGCTATTGTGATATAATTCCATCAGAAAAAGAAATGAAGTAGATAGGGACACCTAATATGAAGAGTTATGAAGGATTAAGTAAATTAAAGGAATATCTATGCAAAATATCTAGGATATGATCTATACAAAGAAAGGCACAAAAAGGCACAAAATGGCAACACTGACTTTTGTTTATGCTACTTATAAAACTTTAAAATACTATCTTCCAGGTAGCTAATGAGTTTTCCTAGATGATTGGTATTTCATTGATCTGATTATTAATGATTTTTAAATGTGTTTACCCATTAATTATATGGTGATATCAATTTGTAAGTAGCCTCCTTACCTATCAAGGTGAGACATAACTGTTTTGGAGATGTCTGCACCTGCTTCTTGTAATATGCGGATGATCTGAAATGGTGCACTTGGACTCCGTCCAGGATGGATAATCACAGGACAGCCAAGCTGAGCCTGGGCGTGAGCTGTAGCCTGAAGAACCTTCCTTTCACTCTCAGTCAAAGGCCAGGAGCAACCAATTTCTCCAATAACACCACACTTGATATTGGTTCCATCAGCTCCATGGAGAATTTCATTAATAAGGATATCTGTAAGCTAAGGAAGAGAGAACTGAACACATTTTATAGATCATTGAATTTAGCAAAATAAATTCATCATACTATATGAATTAATCTATTTAGTCATGCAATCTTTTAAAAGTGCATTCAACATTCATTCACATATATTGGTCAACGAGAAATGCACTTGGCCAGCCAAATCACAAATTCAAAAAGTTATTCTAAATTCAAGTATCAATATCTTAAATTTTCTTAACAATTTAACAAGAACTTTATAGCTTTAGGATACTGTAGGAAAAAAAGTGACAAGGAGAGTACATTCAGATTGAGAAAAAAAATCTATAATCTGAGAGCAGTATCTATGAATGGCACTGACTCTAGGTCAACTGAGTCAAGTAATGCCTTAATTCTTTCCTTTCCAGTCCTTTATTCAGCATAGAAAATTCACACAATGCCATTATTACATGATTTGTTGACTGCTAACAGTGTAGAATCTCTATCATCAGCTTAGTTTTCAAATAACATAAATATATTAAAAATAAAATACTGATTGGAAATATGGATAAAATTTGATATAATTATTTTAAACATTACTGATAATTGCAAAGAGTTTAGCTGGCATCCCATCTCTATCAAACAGGCAAGATTGACATACATGAATGTCGAATGATATGTATAAACGTATGTAAAGAGATACCTATGTACTTAGAAGGAGAGCATGCATATCTGCAAAAAAGCTTTGCAGCTTGTTCTCTTTGTCTGTGAAAGTTTGCTTCCTTCTGTCTGTTCTTGCTTAAGATCGCATTATAACAACAACAGGAGAATGGATTTTCTTCTATCCCTCCTGTTTTGTAAAAAAAGAAGGAAACATATTTGCGAAAGTGCCAAGTCTCTGCTTGCCAAGTTTCACCCTACAGTGAATTTTCATTGCTAGTTATTATAAAATCTTGGAGAAAACATCAAGGTTGTATAATGGAAGCTTATAATGGAAAAGAAAGGTTTACAGACAGACTGTGGTGCCACTACTAAGCACCAAAATGCTATATGTAAATCTAAGTATTAACATATGGGGTTATTCATTAACCTATGCATTATGATCATTCCGAACATTTTTTATCTTTATGAAATGAAATTTTACTAATTTGGGTCCCAATTGGCAGATGTCTTTGCTAGCTAGCAAATTTTTGTAACCAGCCAATGGCATTTTCAAGATTTGGGCTATTCTGAATTTATGCACAAATATTGTCAAATAATTTGGGTCTCTTTACCTGTTCCACTGACATGGCCCTGGTCTCTGAAGAGTGTGTTGCGTCCACATAAAACCCAGCTCCAGATATGATGTGGACTCCAGTCTGTTCTGCAAGCCACTTCAAGGTCTGCACATCTCTGCTAATTCCTGTGGTTGTGTTCTCCACCATGGTCCCTCCACCCTTAGCTTTGAAATACAACAATTCTTCCTTTATGGCTTCTGTCTCCTGATTCAACTGAAGATTCTCTTTATGAGAATAAGGGTTTTTCTGAATCCAAAATAAATTTTTCATCATGATAGGTTCTTTAGAAGTAGCTTCATGGCATGGAGGAGGTGGGTAGTAACAGCAGTCAAAGGTCATTGTCAAATGTTCATGGGTCAGGGTACGGCCCAGTTCGCTTGGCTCCACAAGGCCCAAAACAGTTTGCACTTTCCCACTTAAGGATGGCATGTTGGATAGTACCAGCAGGAGATGCTCTAAAAAGAGTGTTTTCTGGAAAAAAAGGAAACTATAATTAGAAAATTTAACACTCACATACATCCTGTCTCTAAGGGGTGAGAGGCCATGAACATATACCTGTTAAGAAAGAGAATCGATGAAATAGAGCTATGACCTCCCTTATCACTCTGCTGAAGTCAGTCTATGCTCACGCAGTCCTGAGAGACATGTATGGACATATGGTAGAACTGGCCTCTTACCATTCCACTGGGGCTCCTCCACCTGATTTATTCCCAACCTCATCTACTGGAAACATCTCAGTTCACATTTATTTTTCACCTAATTTTTGTCTTGTTATTTATAGCTATGCTTTCTTGCAGAATTCAGCAATAATCATTTAAAAACTTCCTCATAATTAATAAAACTATCAAAACCAGCCATGTATCAGTATTATTGCATAATTTTTCAGCTAAATTGATATACAGAGGCTACTAATAATTTGGCTTTTTACTTGCTATACAAGTGGACCGACTTCTGTTAAAGGTCCATTGTATATGACAAAAATTGGAGCTATCAAGAATAAGATGGGATTTCACATCTGGATAGTTCAGAGATGTCTCCAAAACCATCGGGAGGAGTGCATACCTACATTTAACAGTGAAAAAGGAACAAGTAGAAATGAAGCCCTCAATTGAGATGGCTTATTATTTAGGACACACAGAAAGAAGCACTTGAAAAGTACTTAAAAGGAAAAGTGTTTAGTTACAATGAAAGCAAGTATGATGTTATTGAAAGAGAAATTAGCTGTCTCTGAAAAGAGCAAAGACCTCTTTATCATCTACATCCTTTCTCATACAAATTAAGTATTCACCAAGTTTCTATCAGTGACTGCAAGAACCCCAATTCCAGCACTTTCATGCTAAAAGTACTTTTCCTAAATGAAGGGATATGACTGATAAAGAAAAAGGCAGTGCTGAAAGTGTTGAATACAAACACCCATGAGGCCAAGAGCAAAACCACTGCCAGAAAGGATGTTCCACACAGAGCACCAGCCAGACATGTGCAGAGGGTGGTAGAAAAAATGGACTAGGAACTGAGAAGGAAGTGTCTTTCGAAGCTCTCAAATTGTTCCTACACCAGACATCCTGAAATCATTAGTTTTTTCCCCCATCCCTTTGATGGCCTTCTCTGGTTTCTCATCAATACATTAGAATAGCTGTACATTTCATAGGTCTTCATAAGAATTCAGTTAAATGGGATGCTCTGGGGAAAATACTTGAAAAAGTGTTTAACAAACAGCTCGAAACAGATAGTAGCTTTGTTTTGCTACCTCTAAGAATTATTTTGCTTTTCCTAGTTTGTATCTTTTCACAAGAAGTAGTGGATTGGAGATGAGATGATTTAGGGGAACAATAGAGAAGTTTGTAACAGACACAGGGCACTCATAGGACCTGGTGCAAACAATGTTAGAGGCCAGGGAAAAGGGTGATAAAATCATAGGCCAATTTATATTCAGCAATTGCAGTGACTTTAAGCTGTGGTATTTGAGATCTATTGGCCTGTGTAAGTGACTGATTTAGACTTTTTCTCAGAAAACTTTGGGACCTGTGGCTAACATGCCCACTGGGTTTTGTTTGATAGTACTCTTCTACAAGTCACACTTCCAGCAACTAGGCTGTTTACCTGATATCCACGAGGAAAAAAGATGTATCTACTCAGAGAATCCATACAGCTGCCAGTCACTACATGGAGCAGTGTTTTTCAGTGATGACACTTAGGAGGTCAATGCTTTATTGAGGTTCAATGCTTTATTCTTTGTCACAGAGAGCAAAGAATTTGGAGTTTATTCCGTCACTTGATGAAATCACAGCACCATTAATAATACATTTAACCCTCCATATGGGTTAATTTGCTGTTTCCTTCCTTCTGGCTGATGGAGTTACGGATATTTTCCCGGAGAGTCACAGAGGGACAGAAATTAGGATAAATTGGTTAAACACTACCACTTTTACTAGGAAAGTACCAAACTGAATATTTAATTGATGTGTATTTGAAAGAGCAATGTGGTACATTTCAAGCTCGCAAGCTGTGAGTCTTTTTGAAAAAAAAAAAATCACTTAAGAAATGTCATCCCTTCTGGGAAACTTCTCTAATGCTCTCAGGCAGAGCTGGTTGGCTCTTCCTATGATCACACAAAATGTAACCAACACTCAAAGGCTAAGAAAAGATTTAAAGAACAGACTGTGGCCGGCACTGCTGTAAACTGGAATACGTCTTTGAGTGGAGGAAAGCATGTCTCTAGAATCCGTGATTCCTACACTAGGAAGCCCTTTTCTACCTGTACTCAGCCTGGAAGTTGCTTTATTTGTAAGCAAGTAGCTATTGATGACATTTCACCACAGAGATGAGAGTTCATAGAACCAGGAGGGAAGGAATGAAGGATGAAAGAAGCAGTACACAACTGCTGGGAGTGACCACCAACAAAGGAGGCTTCCAGCATTTTCCAGAGCACCCATAGGAAACTTTAATACTACACATACCAGAAGCTAGTGAAAAAAAGGATAACAGGAGCTACAAACACATTTTCCGAAAGCTTTGTTGTACTTCAAATGTAAAATATGAATATTCTAAGAGGCAGAGAATACTCCACAATTACTCTTTCAGTCCAGCCAAAGCAAGCAACCCTTTTAATCTTAATGGGTATAGAATAAAAAGGGAAAATTTCAAAAGAAAAAAAGGACAGAAGAAGAGAATCAGAGAACAGAAAAGTGTTACTACTACCATTGGAAACCAGAGACAATAAATAAGATTTGCCTATTTTTAGAATATGTGTGTAAATTAGCTTTTATAAAATAAAAAAATTGCCTGGTAACTGTGGAAAGGTAGTTTGGAAGTAAGTTTGTTTAGTTCAGCTTCACTGAAATTTTGCCAGTTTTTTCACCCCGGCCATTATGCTCAATATTTCCATCTGCCTAGATTGATCTCTGTTCCAGTTGCATTTCACATTTCAGAAGGGAGGACTTCCAGAACTCTGAATACTTTACATGGGAATGAGTGAGATTTCTTTTAAATGTAATACTCATGACACAGTATCTTCTCAGCTTAGACATTATACTCTTCCCCTGCCCTTGCCTCTGCTGCAATGGTCCCAGAGCTCGGTGAAAGTACTGATCGTGTGATGGTCAAGTTGGCAAATTGATTTTTAGTGAATTCATTTTCAGGTCCCTTCCCCAACTTCTTTGACAACTGTGACAGGTCTAATCCCTCTCATGCAACCCTTTGCTCCTTTTCACTCATTTCTCTCCCTGAAAATAACCCTCACTGATAAGGGATAAGGGTTGGAAGGAGAGCCAAGTGTGCTTGCAGGGCCTGGTGGAGTGTTGCTATAATCAAGAAAAAAAAAATCAGGTGGTGGTTTGTTCTGAGATGATATCAGTGGAGATGGCAAAAAACAGATGCAGTAAAAGTAAGAGCAGATGGAAATTTCTAACTGGACTTGCTGAGTCTCTGGTACTGAAAGCATACCCTTCATATAAATGGCCCCAATATTTTGGCACTTCTTTTTGTTTATGTGTTACATCACACAGTGTCGTAGCATTCTATAAACACTGAACTTAAAGCTGACATTTGATTTGTGACAAAATATTTGAAAAACTGCATATTTAAAAAAATTGTTTGAATACTTTCATCGTGTGCAGGTTCAAACTTGAGACACTGTGTGTCTGATCACTAAAGAACAGCAACACCAGGGCTCCCTCTTGCACTCAGTCAATACCTTTCCCCTTCCTCAGATACTTACGGTGAAGTTCAGATTTACAACTTTTAATATTAAACACTGTCAAAAAATCAATAACCTTGCCTGCATACAAAGAAAGAAATCCAACCATTTCAGTACACAGAACAATAACCGGACTCAGCAAGTTCTTCAAACTGTGACATAAATAAAACAAAATGGCTCAGAGATACAATTAACAGCTTGTATTTTACATTCAGAGAAAAATGATAGGTTTCATTCTCAAGCTTCACACCCAGCCCCATCCATTAGTCTAAAAAAGTAGACAATGTGAGGTTGTCAGTAGAGCCAGGAAACACATCAGGCTGCCTAACTGAAAGGCTCCATCTTAGTATTTGAGTCTTCAGTACTGTCAAACTTGGGCCATCTGGTCAACCCTTTCAGTCTCTCACAGACTTTACAGATTTTGGTAACTAGTGCTACTGGATTCTTGAATTTGTTACCTATTCATTCAAAACATATCCTTATCTTAAGAAAAGAGAAAAGGAGTGAATCCAGGAGGAGGATAAGGAAGAAAACTATCTGCTTAGGTCAAAATGCAGCATTACTCACTACTTACTACAGTGACATCCTAGAGTTGGAACCAGCAGAATACTATTGCCAAAATACTGTATGAATAACTGGCATTCATTTAATTTGAAAAGTCAAAGTCTCATTCTTAGAACGTTCAATGCTTGATGTATGAGAATGTTTAATATAATTTTTTTCTTTATCTCTTTCTAGCAATACTAGGATTTGAACTCAGGGCTTTGCACTTGCTAGGCAGTTGTTTCATTGCTTGAACCATGCTTCCAACCCTTTTTGTCTGGCTGTTTTGGAGTTAGGGTCTTGCTTTTTGCCCAGATTGGCCCAGATCACAACCCTCCTATTTTAGGCTTCTGCCATAGCTGGGATGACAGGTGCACACCACCATGCCCAGCTTTCTGTTTTTCACATTTTTTTTGATTGAGATGGGATCTCATGAGCTTTTTTGCCTGAGCTGGCCTGGAACCATGATCCTCCTAATCTTAGCCTTCCTCATTGCTCAGGATGACAGGCATGCACCACTACAGCCAGCTATTGATTGAGATTGGTGTCTCATGAACTGGCTGACCTTAAACCATGATCCTCCAGATCTCAGCCTCCCAAGTGTCTAAGATTATAGGCCTGCGCCACGGTGCCTGCTGAAGTAAATGTTTTGATATCACTACTCACAATACTCCTGAGAGGAAAACATATGCTAGGTTACTGGATAGAACATTCAAAACTCCTTTGGGAAAGA